GGTTTGAGCAGTGTGTGCCTATCGATCAGTACCTCCTTCTAATCAGTAAATTCTCCATTCTGATTGGTTAGTATCTGTTCTGAATCAATTGTCAAATATTTGACTATTGATACAAATAAACAATAGTGTGGCACCCAAAAAATAAGCTGGGCCTATCTTACTTTCCATGATTGAAAAGTTTTGAATTAGTTGTGAAAAATCAAATCATGAAGGATCAGAAACACAATTAAATTAGAGGAGGCTAACTGCTGACAAGACAAAAAATATCCAACACATAAAACTGCAAGTGCACTGCAATTCTAGTATCTTCATAAGAGTATGTGAAGGTGTTTAGGCCCATCATGAGTCTGGGTCTGCCCTCAGCCTCTATGAGATAACGCCCTATGTTAGACTTCCATTTCTAGCTGTCTAGACACTTTCCTAGCCACTTTATATGGTTCTTTTAACTTAAGCTATCCTACTTAAGTGTGTCTCTACTTATTTAACCTAAAGATACAACTAAAACTTGAACCTATCCTACAGGTCAGAACATTTGTCAAGCCATTACACCAATACTTGCCTCAAATCTGAAGCACAGATTAAAAATGGGAAAGCAATTGGAAGCCCGGAGACACTTTCTGATTACTGGATAATGGACATTCACTCTAATTCTCTTAATTTGGGGACTTAGAAGATGGTGTACTGTAGAGGTTCTCAAACATGAATGTAGGTCAGGCTTATTAAGAAGGACTTGGTAGCCCAGTGCCGTTGGCTCACACCTGTAATCCTAGCTGTTCAGGGGGCTGAGATCTGAAGATCGTGGTTTGAAGCCAGCCCTGGGCAGAAAAGTCCCTGTGAGATTCTTATTTTCAATTAACCACTCAAAAACAATAAGTGGCACTGTGGCTCAAAGTGGTAGAGCGCTAGCCTTGAGTGAAAGATCTCAGAGACAGTGCCCACACCTCGTTCAGCCCTATGACTGAAAAAAAAAAAAGGCCTTGTTAAAGAGTGGGATCCATTGCTAGAGTTTCTGAATTGATAGAAGGGCCCCAGAATTTGCATTTCTTTTCTTTTCTTTTTCTTTTTCTTTTTTGTCAGTTGTGGGTCTTGAACTCTGGGCCTGGGCGCTGTCCCTCAGCTCTTCAGCTCAAGGCTAGCACTCTACCACTCGAACCACAGCGCCATTTCTGGTTTTCTGAGTGGTTTGTTGGTGATAAGAAGCTCACGGACTTTCCTGCCCGGGCTGGCTTTGAACCAGGATCCCCAGAGCTCAGCCTCCTGAGTAGCTAGGATTACAGGCATGAGCCACAGGCACCAGGCTTCAGAATCTGCATTTGTAGCAAGTGCTTAGGTGCTGCTGCTGCTCCTGCTGGGCTCTGAGGACTCACGTTAAGAACCACCCATATGGACTGCTGCCAGAGCAAATCCATGTGAATATTTGTTTGCATTTGTTTTCCACTTTTAGACAGTCACCAGCTGTGTGGTAACTTATTACTTTACAAAATTCTGTCATGTGTACTCCCAGGGTTAGAGAGATCTGATATCCAAGAGCAAGGAGGTCATAAAGGAGCCATTACATTGATAATGATGTGGGTTTTTTCCTGAAAGAAATGACCGCAGGGAGACTTGAGGGCTTCCATTGTTAGCTGGGCTGTGACTACACAGCCCTAAGTGTACATTTGGGGCCTGGCAGTTTTTCTTTAATGTACTACATTGGGAAAAGCTAATGATGGTAAACTACAGATGTTTCTAATATTTAAGTGGTTATTATGACTAGCCGTACATCTCTAATTCAGATAAAATGAAATTTCTTAACCCAAGGGTAGACCATTTTTTATTACTTGCAAAACTAAAAAGAAAAACAACACTCATTATTGCCTGGCCTTGAAATTGCCCTCCATTTTATCAAAATGAGAAATTCTCCCAAGAATTCTCTTTGCTTAGTTGCACAATTTTTTTTTCTGTGAATTGAGGCCAGGTGCTAGTGTCTGTTCACTAAATTGTTTCTAGAAAAACAACAAAGGTTAGTGCTTTGCTCTGTGGTGGAGCTAAACACATTCAGGTTTTGGTGGCTTTGTGTAGAAAAGTTGGCTGGCCAGGGCAGAAGAGAGTTGTGCAGACAGTCCTGTGGCTGGGAGAAGGCAGGAGGCCTGAGAGAGCACCTTGCAGTCAGGGGACAATGGAGGCACTTCTGCTTGGGGTGAGGATAGAAGGCTCTACAAACACAGTGGCATCTGGGTTTCCATGGGAATTTGTGAGAAAAGAAGCAATCTGAAGGCAGGGCATCCATGTTGGGAGTTCCAGAAGCAAAGAAGCCCAGGCCACAGAAACCACTATATACAGCTATATAGGATTCTCCAAAAAACCCCAAACTTCTATATCCAGTGTGTGGGGTTTATCATAACGAATCAGCTCATCTGATGATGGAAGCTAAGTGGTATAAATTCCAGCCCAGTCCCAAAGTCCTGAGCACAGAGAAGGGTGGATGGCATGCCGCTCTGTCTGAGAGCAGCATACAATCAGAAACTTCAAACTTCCTCGTGTGGGTTCTCGGCAAGCCCTCCACAGGTGGGGTGGTGTCTCCCACGTGGGGACAGTCACCTGCTCTACTCTGTCCACCAGTTCAAATGCTAATCTCTCTCACCCTCCCCCAGCTACACAGCAAAGTTAATTAGGTATCTGGGCATTCCACAGTCCATCCAAATTAGCATATAAATTAACCATCACAAGATATGTATCATTTATACAGAGATAAGAGGTTCAGTGTTAAGTAAGAGCCATACAAAGGCGAGATGAAAAAAGATGTGGGAGAGATGCCAGATGAAGGACTGAAGAGTTTATTCAAGAGGCGATAGGGGCACCTTGTAGTTTGCTTAGCAAAGGAATCATGTGACCTAGGTATTTACCTTGCTCACATTTGTGACTCGCTAATGACAAAGGAGGAAGCGTTGACCTTACAGGAAGAGAAAGCCTCGAAGATCACTCAAGAGTTATAACAGTCTAGGAAGGAAGGGACCAGGACGGAACCAAAGAGGCACCTGCAGGAACCACAACACTGAGTCATAAATAATGCAAGGACAAAATGTCACTGACGGTATAAAGTATAGAGAGGGATAGAAGGTTGCCGTCATTGTAGAAAGTAGGAAGATGAGCTATACTTCAGGCAAGGGGAGGAAAAACAATGAATGTAGATAAAGATACATTGTTCTTATGTAAGAAAAGATACACTTTTCTTATGTAAGTCCAAATAGAAATCCTGAAGGCAGATGGAGAAGTAGAATTTGAGCCTCAAAGAAAATTCAGACTGAAGAGCAGCCTTAGTAAGCATAGATTCTGCTAAGGATAGACAGTATCAGTGTGACAGCAAACAATAGCCCTGACTTTGAACTCACATTGGCTGTTCCTTGCAATCTAGCAGTGGACTCTGTTCAGTCTTTTACCCAAAGACTCAGTTCAATGGAGGCTCCAACTGGATGTACTATATTCTCAGTGCTTTTGGAAATAGAAAAAGGAGAACATAGTAAACCAAGCATGGACTTCCAACATCTCTAACCAGAACTCATTGGCAAAAGTAAGTTAGTTGCACAACGGTTTTCTGAGATCCGGTGAATGCAGAAAAATAATGCTATGCATGCTCAGAGCAAAGGATCAGCCATATCTGATGACACCTGGAGGTGGGGGGAGGGGCAGTCATCTCTATAGGTCATGGGAAAGGAAGGGGAGGTTCAGCCTTCCTTGTGCAGAGGAGAGAGGAGTGAGCCAAGAGCTAAGGGTAGACCCTCAAGGAACTCTCTTTCGCAGGACAGTAGGAAGGAAAAGCAAAAACAAGAAGAAAAGCAAAGGCTCCATCTAGTCTGGGTCCTATGGGAACCCTCTCAGGGCAGCTCCTTGGTGTAGAGTCTGCAGATAAATCCAAAAAGCTGCAGCTGAGAAAGGCCATTGTGTCTGCCGCTGAAGAAAGACTTGGCCATCCGGAGAGCGGCTCTAGGGAAGCGATGGAGCCAGACTGAGGGGGAGCCATCACCTGAATGCAGACTGCAGCACTGGGGGAAAGGAAGGAATCCAGGGTGGCTGCTTGAGGTGGCATCGAAATCAAAGCGGCTTCGTTAAATCAGAGCTGACAGTGTTTCTCATTTGTCCACTCAGTAAATATTTACTGAGCACTTTCCCTTGCCAAAAACTGGCTCAGGCGCTGGGAGAGAGCGAGTGCAAACGTTTTCTGTTCCCATGGAGCTTATCTTCTAGCGGAGGCAGACATGCAATAAACAAGTGGGCAAAGAAACGAATGAGAGAAAAGAGAATTTCTAATTATAGTTAGTTCAGACAAAACTGTACAAATATATATTTAGTTCCTGGTTTACTTCTGAAAGGAAGCAGCCAGGAGACTGGAAGGATCCCAGAAAAAGGTCAGGAAAAGGCGGGGGGGGGGGGGGGGGGGGGGGGGGGGGGGCAGAGGGGATACAAGCTGACTCCAAAAGACAAGAGACTGAAGCTATTGGAAAATCCAGAGCAGGAATATTCTATAGCAGGCAAAGACCTTCCACAGCAAAATCAAGTTCTCACAGAACACAGACTCATTTGATGGGAGCTTAAAGGGGCTGGTTGGAGATGCCACTGTGTGTTTGCATGTGCTGAGCGTGGATCCCTACAGTAAGGAAAGGTTTTAGAACAGATCTGCCTCTCAGTACAACACAGGATTTTTCTGGGTTAGAAGCACTTGCCTTCTCTTATACATAACCCTGCCACCGAATAGCTTGTGTGGCTTGAGGAAAAGGTGGTTTTTTTTTTTTTTTTTTCAGTTTAGAGTGCTTCTTTTTAAGGCTTGGCAATCAGTCTGTGGCTTTCCCTGCATCCTTTCTCACTTGCATCCTTTCTAGTTCCAGCTTTGCAGAATTTACTCATACATTCACATACAGTTGACCTTTCTCACTTCAGAAGAATTTCCGGGGCCTGATCTTCCTCCCCTGGCATTTTAAAGCAGAAGTTGGAGCGTATTTCTGCAGAACTCCGTGACCACCCTCTGCTGCCTTCGGAGAGCACAACCATCATGATGACCTAAGTTGCCAGTAGGTTAGGGTACGCCAGTGGGTGAGATAATCTCCTGAAAGGCGGATTTGCTAATGTTGCCCCATCAGCTCTAGGAGTCGGGGAGGTGTGCCGCAGTGTCAGGGGTCACAGACTCGCCTCCAGAGCCCAGGCCTGCCAGAGGGAGGCGCGCAGCAAGCGCCCAGTGAGTTCAGGTTTCCTGCAGGACACGGCATGTGAGCAAGACCTTCTAGTCAGTTCATGGGAGGGTGGGGGTCCAGCTGCGAGGCTGGCTTGCTGAAGACTTTGTTTTGCAGCCTCCAAACCATCTAGAGAAAAGCCAGGGCCCGGCTTGGAGCAGCAAGGCGTGGGGATGGGCGGGCTCTTCCCGGAATCCCTCCCGCCCTCTCTCCCCTTCCCCTCCCCCCAGTCTGTCAGGGGGATTCAGGAGCCCTATTCCAGGACAGGGAGGATACAGGGTATAAGTCTCCCCCCAAATCTGAAATCCAGACTGGGGCCACGATGTCAGGACGGAGGCCCCGGAGATCTGGGGCGGTGACAAGCCCTGGGCACCGTTAGGATGGGCGACGCCGGGTCCTTGGGACCGATGGCTGCAGTGGTGGCAGCCGGGTGGGCTGGAGAGGGAGAGCCGGGCCCGTGGGCGGAGAGCCGCGGGGAGCATTCGCGGGGTAGAAGGCATCTGCGGGGAGGGACCTTCCCAAGCCAGCGGGCGGCTCGTGCAAGGCACCTGCTGATTCCCATAGAGGACCAAAGCACTGGGTTCGCCCCCCCCCCCCGGACGGGGCGGAGGGGCGGGAGCTCACCCTTCCCCGGGCCTGCGCCTCCCTCCCCCCTTCACCCTCCCGTCCCCCCCCTCATCCTCGCTCAGAACAACCCGGCCGCAGCGCTGCGCCCGCTCGGGCCCGGAGATGCACCACCGGGCCGGGTGCGGGCTGAGATGCTGGCCTCCTTTGTTCTGATCGGCTTTGCGCCCCTCGGTGCTGACCGGCGGGGTCAGCCGTTTGGGGGGTCGGCTGAGTCACCGTCGGGCGTGGACCGCGCGAGCGCGCGCTCGCCCGGTGCCAGATGGACTCCCGCGCGGGGCCGGGGGGCGCGGGGAGGCCGGGGGCGCGGGGCGGCCGGGGGCGCGGGGCCGGGGGGCGCGGGACAGCCGGGGGCGCGGGGCCGGGGGGGCGCGGGACGGCCGGGGGCGCGGGGCCGGGGGCGCGGGGCGGCCGGGGGCGCGGGGCGGCCGGGGGCGCGGGGCCGGGGGGGCGCGGGACGGCCGGGGGCGCGGGGCCGGGGGCGCGGGGCGGCCGGGGGCGCGGGGCGGCCGGGGGCGCGGGGCCGGGGGGCGCGGGGAGGCCGGGGGCGCGGGGCGGCCCGGGGCGGGGCGCCAGGGCTCCCTGGCCCTGATCGCTGCCCGAATGAAAAACTGCAGGGCTTCCGAGAGCACTGCGAGGCGCTGCCAGTGATCATGGGGGAATCTACTCGTTATTTACATGGTTTTAAATGGCTTGCATGTCCCCGTCGGCAAGGTTGTGAAGATGTCTCCACACTCTCGGGAAAGGTTCGCTGCGGTGTTCTTTTGGGAGGATGCTGAACATCATGGAGCACACAGCCCCGTGGTGCAGCGCTGCCCCTGCCCGTCACCCGCCCTTGTAGACGGAGCCCGGAGGCCTAACAAAGAAAAATAAACCATGGCTCCACATCGATTTCTTGTTTATTTTATGTTTGTCAGTACTGGGACTTGAACTCAGGGCCTCATACTCCTTTTACCTTTTCCACTCAAGGCTAGCACCCTACCACATGAGCCCAACTAGACTTCTGGATTTTTTTTCCTCGTTAATTAGAGAGAAGAGACAATGGGATTTGATATTCTGGCCTGGCTTTGACTCTGAATCCTCAGATTTCAGGCCCTTAAGTAGCTAGGATTACAGGCCCGAGCCATTGGTGCCTAGCTTTCCACATCAATTTCATAACACTGTTGAGTGTGAGGTCACACAATGTACATAGACATCCAAACTAACAAAACAAAAGCCATCGTTATTCTCAGATACATAATTCTGTAGCTAAGTACAAAAACCCAAAGTGAAAGTGGAAGTACCAACTTCAGGAAATCAGTTGCTTTAGGAGAGAAAAAGAGAAAAATGACACAAACGGGTATATAGTTCTCTTTTATTTAAAACTTGGAAGGTCAACTACATTTAATTTATCAAGGTAAACTTGATAAAGAGAAGAAAGAGGGGAAAGGAAGAGAGGAAAGAGGAAAGGGGAAGAGAAAGAAGGAAGAGGAGGAGGAAGAAGGAGAGGAAGGAAGGGAAGAAGGTAGGAAAGAAGGAAGGAAGGAGAGAGAAACTATTTGTGTGAACTTAGAACTACCCATAAATGTATGTATGAAAATGTACTTTGCAAAACCAGGAAATATGTGCAGCACTTAACTCACAGAAGTGAGCTATGAGCAGAGACTGATTAGATGAAGTAAAGCCATCTACTTCTTTATTTTGTTTTGCATTTTCTTCTCCTCTTCCCCACCCCCTACTTCTTTTTTTGAGATAGGGTCTTAATATGTGGCCCGGACTTGCTCAAACTCACCAAGGTCCCAGTTCAGCCTCCCTAGTGCTAGCATTCCTTTCTCACTCTATACAGTTGTATGTTGTTAGAATTTAACAAGTTCCATAAAACAGAAATTTGAACAGTTAAATATAGAAATGCCTAGAGAAAAAAAATCCAGTGGCGTCTAAACCAAAATATTATCCATAATTTCTGCTGAGTAATAAAGTCATAATAGATTTTTATTTCATGTTTTATTTTTGCATACCTGTATTTCTGGACTTTCTTTTTATACTTTGTACTTTCATAAAAGCCAACATGTTATTCCAGCCACTGCTGACACCAATTCCATCAGGGTTATCACCACAGAGTGAAGCCCTGGGCAGACAGACCTGCACAACTCAGGCTTTCACAGACAGACCTTCATTCCCATGCACCTGCGCAGAGATGCCTCCATCCTTTCCCAAGTGTCAGTATGGTGGGCTGGGCATGCACAAAGGTAGCTGGCATGGACCAATTCTACTCTCTGGAAGCTTCACCTAGCTGAAGGTGTAGGCTAGAGGGATGGATGCAATAGTGAGACTCCTGTCCTCACCAGATGAATTGTCTCAGAGACAGCCTCATTTTGTTACTGTTTCAAAAACAAGAAACCATCTATCTGTCTGATGACTTGTGAGTTCTTTGCACAGCTACCTAGAAGACTGAGATGAAAAAAAAAAAAAGACTGAATTTCATTAATCCAGGGATTTCCCAGCGTGTGTCTGAAGGTAAGGTAAGCTTGCGTGGTTGTTGTTTTTGCCATTATTCTCATTTTTGTCTCTATCTTAGCAAAATCCATTTTTTTGCTTACATAAAATAAAGCTCCTTTATCAGATTAAAATCTGTTTCAAGAAAAAAATGCTTTTAAGATTCTTTTCATTTTTTGCCAAGTTGGCTCCACTCCATGTTTTCTTGTGATGACCCAGAAGGAAGAGGTCAGATCCCTGAGGGCCTCAATTGTGAGATATCAATCATCACTCTCCCCACCCCCTCTCACAGGGGTTAGCTCAGGACCAGGGTGACCAAGGTGCAGAGCGCTAAGTCTCACATAGAAAATGGCAAACTATTTGTATATCACCTACAGCATCTTTTCATATACTTTAGATCAATCTCTAGATTAGTTACATTATTGCATATAATAGAAACGCTATGCAAATAGTTGCACTGTGTTCCTTAGGGGACAATGACAAAGAAGAAAATATCTATGTATTTAAGCCAGATACAATTTTTTCCCAAATCTTTTCAATCTGTGGGTGATTGAATCTGCGGATGCAGAACTCAGAAATGCAGAGGAGGGACTGTACAGACACAAGGGCTGAACATACACAAAGAAGGCCTCGCGTGCACACAGTGGGAGCCTGGTTGTCTACAAGCCAGGGAGTGAGCCTCAATAGAAATCAACCCTGTCAACACCTTGATCTTGGACTTCCGGCTTCTAGAGCTGTGAAACCAAATCCCTGTTGATTAATCCATCTAGCCTGTGGTGATTTGTTAAAGCAATTCATGCTGGCTAATCAACTGCTCACGGCGGCTCTTCCTCCCTCTTGAGACAACACTTCTCAGTACTGTCCTTCATCCTTATTGGCTTTATAGGACTTCTTCCATGACTTGCATCTCCAAAAGCTGATACAGAAGCCCATGCAGTAAACTTCTTCCTTAGATACGCAGGCAGGCCTACACATCCACAGAGAACCCAGCATGCCCCCAGCAAGGGCCTGCCAAAGCCTTTGGTACCCAGCAATCCCAGAAAGCTGGTGACAGCATTGATGGAAGCAGAGGGAAAGATGGATCCTGCCTGATCAGAGCCTACACTTGTGTGCAGAAAATGGTGCAAAGGGATCATGTGAAGAACATTAGGCAACTCATCTAAGAGGAAGCCAGACTGAAAACCTTATTTCAGACTTGGAATTCTTACTTTTTTTAATTACTTTGTATTTTTGATGTATAAATAATTGCACAGGGGTTCACAATTTTTCTTCTTTTTGTCTTTAAGTAGTTGTACCGGGGAGTTGCCATTGAACAAAGCAGTTTATGAATCAATTCTTATTTGAGTCCAGAAATAGAGAAAGTGGGGAGGCACTTCCATAGTGCTCTCCTTTATCACTTTTCTTGGGTTTTGACCTGCTTGGGTTCCTTCTGGATCCAGCTTCCTTTCCTTCTTGGGTGTCCCTATCCTCTCCTCTCTTTGCACTTCCTTCCTCTCCACGGTTCATGACCTTTTCCAGATATACAGTCTGAGTATTCTTTCTCAGAAATGTTTATGACCAGAAGTATTTCAGCGTTTTTTGGATTCTGACCTACTCACATATGCATAGTGAAATATCCTAAGGATAGGATCCAAGTCTAAAGATTCAATTCACTTGCGTTTCATACACACCTGGTGCACCTGCCTGAAGACAATTTTGTATGACATTTTTGGTGTCCCTGTGCTTTTATTGTAACTTGTTGTGTGAAGTCAGGGGTCGAGTTTTCTACTTGTGGCCTCATGCCAGTGCACAGAAGTTTGGATTTGGGAGCCTTTGGGGGTCTCCAGTTTTTTTAATGAGGGATTTGAACCTCTAACAGGAATTAAGGCTGAGAAGAGCACCAGGTGTTGAGTACCACAAGACGCTGGGCTCCCAATATGTAGCTGCGGGCGAGATTGACTTGAGAAATTCACATACTTCACCTCCAGAAGCAGAAGACAGAGAAGCCAGTAAGAAAGCTTTCAGAGAGGGATGTGCTAAGGATTCACATGGAGAGATGAGATGGAAGCTCTGCAGTTGCCCGGGAAATGGCATTGGCTCACCTCTTGGTAATGCCAGAAGAAATTGTGTGCCACGGGGAGGGTTGAACAATCTGCACCCTTCCCCCAGCACACTCATCCCGGAGCTCTGCCATTTCGGTCTAATTTGCAAAAAGTAAATGAGTTTTCTTATTCTATACCAGATAAAGTGAGTAACCTGATCTACCTAGAAAAGAAGAAATATTTATCATGCCCATTTAGAGAAAACTTTTGGTTTTCAATTTTTTTCTTATAATACCTTTGATAAGGAAACGATATGTTATTGAAAACAATTGTTTAAGAAAACAGACCAAAATGACAATCTATTTTATCTGGTACTTATTTCTAGTTGAGGCAACCAGGGACATTTAAAAGTGACAATCCTAGCTACTCGGGAGGCTGAAGTCTGAGGATCATGGTTTGAAGCCAGCCTGGGCAGGAAAATCCATGAGACTCTTGTCTCCAATTAATCACCAAAACAGGCTAGAAGTAGAGCTGTGGCACAAGTGGTAGAGAGCTAGTTTTGAGCACTAAAGCTCAGGGACAGTGCCCAGGCCCTGAGTTCAAATCCTAGGACCAGCATACACACACACACACACACACACACACACACACACACACACACACACACACGATTTGTGCTAGCAAAGGCAGACCCTGTCCTTTAGGGTGCAATGGGAAATGTGCAGTGTCCTTACAGGAACCTCTGTGCCCAGAGCCCAGGAACCAGAGCCGAGAAGACCTAGTAACCCAGGTCTTGCTACAGAGCTAAGCTTGGCCTTGGAAGGGCTCTGTGGCAGCCTGTGTATACAGAGCTCTCCCTGAAAAGGGATGCAGAGAAAGCTCTGGAAGTGACCGGCTTGCGTGCATAAGCAGAGCCAGGGGCAGCTGGCACCTTTGGACTTCAGACACTGTCCCTCACACCCGTGTACGAAGGAAGCAAGTCTTGGCTCCATGGTCAGTAATTATTCCAGGACCATGGCACTGACCTTCAGCTCAGGAAGAGACATTCGTAACTACCACTTTCCTGGGGCCTGCCAGGATTTGAAAGGAAGCAGACAGAGGTCCTTATACATGCAGTCATAAATTTAAATCTTTTTTTTTAAACCCAGGCAAAATAGTACGATGACTTGACATTTTGCATACTTAAATTTAGAACAGATTACAGAAGGCAAATACTCCCATCATAAGCTGCTCCATTTAAGAACAACACAACCCAGACTCAGCTTGGGGTGACTTGTCTCTTGAGAGAACTTCCTCCTTGACCAATACTGAGAAGAATCTCAAGGTGACGAACACA